TCTTATAACGGACCTCTCAAAACAATAATGACCGCTACCCATGGCAACGCACTCTCTGCTTGTAATTCATGTGTGTAGATTGCTCCGCAAGTAGTTCTGGCCACTCCGGAGCTAGCCACGCTCAATAAACGCAGATACCAATCAATCAACACACTTAAATGTTAATCGGAGAATACATTATACATATACATTCTTAATACACATGCACAGAGGTTTTCAGAATTTTCTTTTAAGGTTTTCATGACAAAAATACTATTTTAATGCCAGGAAAAGCGATCGCAAAAAACCCGGAAGTAGATTCCGGGACATTTTAGGAACATTTGCAGAGGATCAAATTATGGATTTAGGTTAAGTTTATGTTTGGGTCACTCACCGCTGTTCAGAATTAGTTGTTCAGTTTTCATGCAGTTCGAGAGAGTTCTAGTTTCGGAGTTGCTAGCCTAACTGTTACTAGCCTATCTGTTACTCGCATAGCCACGGGAAAGCCTTTGGGAACTATTTTATTTTCTGTAATTAAATAAACCTTTTGGCATTCCTAAGAGTGGACTGAAGTTTATTTTGTGTGTTCTGTTGGTATAGAGCCGTATAATAAGCTGGATAATGTATAGTACCTTCAGGGCGGAAGCAGACCCCTCCGCATCGGGGTCCGCTTCCCCCTGTCGGTACTTATTTTGCGATAATGACCTGTGTACTATACATTATCCCTTACATATTCTGACTTTCATAAAAAGCCTTGAACAGTTACTTTTGTTGTGTTTTGTAACAAGTTAGACGTATTGCCTTTCCTTGTAACCAGGTAAATCTAATGAGTCTTTCAAAAGAACCTCAAAAAACCATTTGTAATCTTCTTTAAATACTTAAGTAACTTTGTGCCTGTGAGCTTTTAACACACTCTATGTGATAATCAGCCAGATCATCTGCTCCAAATTTAGCCTTCCTGTTAATCACTGGGGTGTAGCCTGTCTGTGGCCTGTCTGCACTAATTAATTGAACAAAAGGTGATGTGTTGATCTCACTACATAAATACAAGTGAGGTGAAAAAAAGTGCCTCACCAAGATGATTTTTGTTTTCTATAATGCTCCAGAGTATTGCATCTTGTGTGTCTTATCGCATACATGTGAAAGGCAAGGTAGAGCTGGCAGTGGGAAGCAAACATATGTGTATAGTTGTTACCAGAAGACTCAATTTGAATCCGTGGGTAGTTTCTGAAGGGAACTCCAGTGAATGTTTTGTTTTAGTCCCATCGTTCATTTTCCAGTAAAGCCATTCTATTGCATCCCTGCGAGCCGTACGTGGGCATGCCCCGTCATTTACCTTAATAGTCAGACATTCAGAGCTGTGTAAACTCTGGCGTTTATTGCTCGCCTTTTGAACCCACTTGGCATCAAACCAGCTTCATTTTGCAGCGCCGTTTTTCTCTTTATGGGGATTACCTTCAATTAAAATTACAGTTCTTATATTGTCTCCTGCTGTGGGTTTTATCCTCTGCTTGCACATTTTAAAACATTCAGACATGTCCTTGCAAGCTCTCAAATCCAAATACTGGACTTTGTGTTTTTTATATTGGCAATTATGTGGCTGTTTCGTGTTTTGATATATAACAATTACAACCATAGCCTTGGCCTCAAGGCTATGCTCACACTCAGAGAGCAGCCTTCCTCCTGTGGACTCACCACCTGCAGAGGGTCAGTGAGGGCCTGGTGCTTTGAGACTTGGGTGGCATCTCTGACTGCCACCCCCCTGACCCAGAAATGGATTAAAGGGAAGAAAATGGATGGATGGATGGAATTACAACCACAATATTATTGAATATTCTGACATGAAAAAGTAACAGCATCCAATTCATTGTAAACTACTTGAAGACCTGCGTAGGTATTCAACCCAAAAAAAGCAATGATGAACGGAGTTGATGGAAAATACCTCTCTCTTTGGCTCATTCCCACTGAGCAAAAGAAAGAGGTTTTCTTCTCCAAAAAATCCCGGACGACAACACAGCAATCCCGGGACGCCATGCCATTTCAACAAAAAAAACATGAAAAATGAACTACTGAATCCAGGAATATTTCTATATTCTTGGGTTTCATATGACGTCAGGGCAGTGGCGCGAATAACAAATGTAGGACAGGACATGACATACCCTGGCGGTGCAGTTTGCCGGGTATATACACGGAGATATATTAAGGTAAGGCAAGGCAAGGCAAGTTTATTTATATAGCACAATTCATACACAAGGCAACTCAAAGTGCTGAACAAAACAAGAAAGCATTAAAATCATAAATAATCACAGAACATTAAAAAGAAAGATAAAAATATAAAATCCCTCAGTTGTATGCACAGCTAAACAGAACTGTCTTTAACCTGGTTTTAAACATTGTCAGAGAGGAGGCCTGTCTCACATCTTCAGGAAGACTGTTCCAGATTTTAGCAGCATGAATCTGAAAAGCAGCCTCCCCATGTTTAGTTCTGACTCTGGGCACTAACAGGAGTCCAGTCCCTGTGCTCCTCAGAGTCCGGGCTGGTTCATATGGGACTAACATGTCACTAATATATTTTGGTGCGAGGCCATGGAGAGACTTGTACACAAGCAGAGCTGTTTTAAAGTCTATTCTCTGAGCCACAGGAAGCCAGTGCAGAGACCTGAGGACTGGACTAATGTGGTGGTACTTCCTGGTTCTAGTCAGGACTCGAGCTGCTGCATTTTGAATGTACTGCAGCTGTTTTACAGCCTGTTTGGACAGACCTGTGAGCAGGCCATTGCAGTAGTCTAACCTACTGGAGACAAATGCATGGATAAGAATCTCCAAGTCTGCTTTAGACACTATGTTTTTGATCCTGGCAATGTTGTTTAGATGGTAAAAAGCTGCTGATGTTACTGATTTGATGTGGCTATTAAAATTTAAGTCTGAGTCCAGTATTACCCCTAGATTTCTGACCTTGTTTGAAGGTTTTAGGGAGAGAGACTGTAGGTGACAGATGACGCTCTCTCTTTGTTTCTGGGGACCAAAGACAATCATTTCAGTTTTGTCTGCGTTTAGCTGAAGGAAGTTGTTTTGCATCCACTCACTGATCTGTTGGATACAGTGAAGGAGTGAGTCCACTGGTCCATGTTCTCCTGCAGTCAGTGAGACATAGATCTGAGTGTCGTCTGCATAGTTATGATAGGAAACTTCGTTTCTGCGTATTAACTGACCTAACGGCAGCATGTAGAGATTGAACAGAAGAGGTCCCAGGATCGACCCCTGTGGGACTCCACAGGTCAGGGCCATATGATCTGAGACACAGTTTTCAATCTCCACAAAGTACTTCCTGTCCTCAAGGTAAGACCTAAACCAACTTAGGGCGGTGCCAGCGACTCCAACCCAGTCCTCTAGTCTCTGTAAGAGGATCTCATGGTCGACAGTGTCAAAGGCAGCACTTAGATCTAACAAGATTAAGATTGAGACTTTGCCTGCGTCAGTGTTCAGCCGGATATCATTTGTAACCTTAACGAGAGCAGTCTCAGTGCTGTGGTGGGGTCTAAAGCCGGACTGAAACATATCAAATGAGTTGTTGATTATAAGAAATCTAGTAAGCTGTAGGTAGACAACTTTCTCAAGGACTTTCCCCATAAATGGCAGATTTGAGATGGGACGATAGTTGTTAAGTACAGTGGCATCCAGACTGCTCTTTTTTAGCAGGGGCCTGATGACTGCAGTTTTCAGGGCCTTTGGGAATATTCCAGAATGAAGGGACATGTTTACTATCTGTGTGAGTGAAGGTAACAGACTGCTCAGAACAGACTTCAGAAATCTAGTGGGTAGTACATCCAAGCTGCATGTGGAGGAGCTCAAACTGGAGATTATCTCTTGGACAGTTTTATCATTTACAGGTGCAAAGTGAGTTAGCTCAGAGAGCCTTTCTGTTGGATGGTTATCTGTGGATTGGAGACAATGGCGTTTTTGATGCCTTGAACCTTGTCATTGAAAAAATTAGCAAACTCATTGCATTTACGTTTGGAAGTTAGCTCTAATGGCATTTGAACAGGGGGGTTTGTTAATCTATTAACTGTTGAGAACAGAACACGCAGATTGTTGCTGCAGCCTTCAATCATTTCAGAAAAATACCTTTCTCTCGTACTACGTAGCACCCGGTACCCGGTACCCGATATTAGAAGAAGAAGTGCTGTCAAAATGCCATCTTTTTGTGCGGTGTACGCTTGTAGCAACCGCGCAAATAGAGAGAAAGACAAGAGTTTCTTTAGTGTTCCATTTGTGGTCTCATATAAAGGAGTAAACTTTGAAAAAACACTGGAATGAGGCGGGCGAGGTGGATCAAGGCTTTCCTAGATAAGCGCCCCCTGCAGGCCACCCGTATGAAACGCAGCAATTTCTTCTGTTTTTTTTTTCTCCAAAAATGCCCAAAATCAAGACTCTATTTTTTAGTACTCCCTTAGAATTGAGTGTCCCCGATTAAGACTATTACAACAACCGTACACCGCACAGGATGAGAGCCTTTTGACTCCAAAACAAACACGATTACATGGAGCAAAACTGAGTTGTCCCACCTCTGCTCATTCGCCCCCTACTGGCCAGTTTAATGAAACCCAAGAATAGAAAAACATGGATTCCCACAACCGCCTCCCAATGTTTTCTTTTAATTTAATTTAATTATTAATTTTGGTAGTCCTCAATCTTTTATAACATTTCAGGGCTCTATTTCACATCACATTTCTGAAAAACTCAAAGGGTTATCATTTGTACTCAAATATTCTAGTATTTATGCACCGCTTTTAGGATTTGTCTTTCAATTTTCTTCTCCTGACCTAACACATGACCATAATGAGTTGCTTTTAGTCACCAAGTACATGATAATTCTCACTTCTCATATCTGATAGATTGCAAAAAGCTTTTCCCTGTGAATTACCCCCTGATATAAACCATTCTATTCATAACTGCATCATGTCTATCACCATTTGTGCCTTTATCACTGTCCTGATCTGTGGCGCTCTCTGCTTTTGTAGACGGCTCAAAGGAGGGTCCCACCTGCATGGACAAGAACCACGGCTGCGCGCACATTTGCCGAGAGTCGCAGAAGGGTGGCATTTCCTGCGAGTGCCGACCTGGATTCCAACTGACACGGAACATGAAGGACTGCAAATGTAAGATCCAGGCGAGGTCCCCAATTCCCCTGCGTGTGTATGTGTGAGAGAGAGGGCAATCAGAGAGGACGGCCAAGAGAGGGAGAGGAGCGGAGAGAAAGAAGACGATAGATGGATAGACTAACAATATGTGCATTTTAAGCCGATAGAACCATGAAAAACAAATACAATGTTGAAGGTAAATTGTTAAGTATGTATAAGTAAATCATTTTTATGCATATATAATCATTCGCAGACCAGGGTCACAAAGCACTTTAGAATGTTAGATGGATGGATGGATGGATAGATGATAGATAGATAGATAGATAGATAGACAAACAATATGTATATTTTAAGCCATTAAAACTATGAAAAACAATACAATACAAAATAGGTTGTAAGATAGACGGAAAGATTGTTAGATAGACAGATAGATAGATGATGGATAGAGAGATAGATAATTAGATGGATAGATAGATGGATAGACAGATAGATAGTTAGATGGATAGACTAACAATATGTATATTTTAATCCAATAAAACCATGCAAAACCATACATTACAACAAATTCATGGATGGATAGATAGATACAGAAGTTTTTTTGTTTTTCTGAGGAAAGGGTACAGGGTGTGTGAGGAAACAGGAGCAGAGAACAAGGGGAAAGTGGTTGAGGAAAAGGTTTCCATGTTCCATGGGAAAAGGTGCTCATGTCTGACCTGATGAATAATGAATTGCTGCATAAATGGAAGGCAGGAGTTGAAAGCAGGCTATGGACTGTCTGAAATATACACTAAGGGATACATGTATCAAGGCTTTGCATTTGTGCAAAAAATATTCAAACAAATCACCAAAATTGCACAATCGTACTTCTCACCTTAGCGTTTACCACCTGGGTTTACATGTAATATACTGTAACACAATATCTATGGTATAATCACAACACTGGATTCTGAAATAACATGCTGTCATAACATTAATTGGAGAATAAGATAAAACGCACAAGAGAAGAGAAACTGAATGCATACAGTATCTGTTGCGAGAGGTTGTCTTGTAGATGCAACTGCATAATACTCCTGAGTGAAACAAAATTAGATGTATTTAGATGTACTTACTAGACATGTTATGGGTCCAACCATTCATTACAATAGAAAAACACATCGTTTGAAGCGCAGGGGGGGCAATAAGAACCACTAAACCTAAAGTAGAACATATTAATGTGGAATCCAGGGAAATTGTTTGTATCCATCACTGGTGCCTGGAGAAGCTAAAATGCGTTAGCTCCTCTTTCTTAGCTTAAGGAAGTTATAATGGTATATGTAGAAAAGTTGAGTCGTTGTTTGGTTTCGCTGGATGTTTCCGATTAGATTGTGAAATATTCAGGTCACGATTCTTTTTTGACTTCTTCCCCCACATGCTGCTGTTCATCTGGGCGGTGATGTCAACTTTAAACTGCGCATTTGTAACTTAAACTAAATGTTTCGCAGTCAAATCAATTCAATCAATGTATTGTCATTGTCTCAAAAAACAATGAAATTTCCCAAAAATGTATATTACTGCTTTTCAAGGTTTACCACGTGGCTCTTTCTATATTTCTGGTCAATCCCTGGCTGTGTATAACAATTTATTAAATTACTGTTGTAAATTAGATAGATTAAATACATTTTTCTCAAAGCTCTAGAAACCCAGCCCTTGACAAATTAGCAAACATTAACCCGGCGGGTTAAGAGCTGCTTATAATTAAGGCCCCATCATACTTTTCTGACTGCGTGTGTCAGGGCAGCGTCTGAAAGCTCTGAGACCAGCAAACTTCTTCATCCTGTCGTAGTTCTTCCTGTATGCTAGCCGGCCTCTCTAAAACCGTTACAGGAGAGGGTTCCAACCAATCACGTATAACAGCCAAATTCAACTACCTGCACTCCGATCTGCTCCGCTCAATGCTTACTCTCTCCCAGTGGGGGTGGGTCGCAGCTCAAAAGTGTTCCTGAGCATGTGTCCTTTCAATATGACTCCTTGCCGGTGGTGTTGTACCCGGAAACAGAATTATCCAATGCATATTTACCTCTCGAAAATGGCTTTACAGCCTGGTCCAAACGTCGACTCTTGGCTCAACGCTACGTTCCAGATGTCCGTTAATATTTACAGTCTATACTCCCTCTGCTTTGTTGCGCTGAGAACCACAAGTTTTTAAAGTGAAAGTCCTCATTTAAAGTGATTGTCTGGAGTTTGTTAGAAAAAAGAGAGCGAGGTATAGGATTTAAAAAAAAACGACCCAAGCTCCTCCCCCTTCCTCTCTGATTGGTCTACGCCTAAGTTTCCTTAACAATCAATCAACACATTTAAATGTTAATCAGAGAACACATTATACATATACATTACTAATACACATGCACAGGGGTTTTCAGAATTATTTGCTAACGTTTTCATAACAAAAATAATGTTTTAATGCACAAAAAAAGCGATCGCGGTAAGCCCTAAAGTAGCTATTATCATGAATTGAAAATTTTAGGACACATCTGCAGAGGACTGATTATGGATATAGGTTCAGTATATAAATGATTATGGATATAGGTTCAGTATATAAATGATTATGGATATAGGTTCAGTATATAAATGGGTAACTCAGTGCGGATGTACAAAATTCTTTGTTCAGTTTTCATGTAGTTCCAGAGCCTAATAGAGGCTTGATTCGGAGGCTCCGTGAAAACAAACAACTGAGCTACGAGCATGAGCATGAGCATGAGCAGGAAGTACATCCTCTGCTGGGCCTTCTTAATGAGGGAGCTGATGGTCGGCTCCCACTTGAGGTCCTGGGTGATGGTGGTGCCCAGGAAACGGAAGGACTCCACAGAGGTGATGGGGGAGTCCATCACGGAGGGTGGGAGCGGGGGGACAGTGCTCTTCCTGAAGTCCACAATCATCTCCACTGTCTTCTGGGCGTTCAGCTCCAGGTTGTTACCACTGCACCAGGACACCAGCCGGTCCACCTCCCTCCTGTAGGCAAACTCATCGTTGTTGGAGATGAGTCCAATGAGGGTGGTGTCATCCACGAACTTGATCAGCTTCACGGAGTCGTGGCTGGAGGTGCAGTGGTTGGTGTACAGGGAGAAGAGCAGGGGAGAAAGAACACAGCCCTGTGGGGCTCCTGTATTTATAATCCGAGAAGTTTGTGTAAGCCCTCAGTCGTACAGGGATTAGTCAAAGCAAAGGAAGGTTTCTCACCCATCATCTGTACTTCTTAGCAAGTTTTCCCGACGTTTCGTCCTCAACCTAGCGGACTTCTTCAGGGAATGAATTCTCGGACCGCGCGTTGGAGATTTATAACCTATGGGTGTGGTAAGCCACACCCTAATCCTGATACTAACTCGTAAACAATCTAAGGTCTGCTTGATGTAGAAGGGAGCAGGTCTAACGACCCTGCTGAGGCTAACGACCCTAACTCCTTAGCATGTCACAGACCTATTGTCTGCTGGGATGCTCAAGTGGAGTGCAGGTCTCACCCCTCCTAACTCATTACCATGTCACTGACCTTGTCCCAAGTTAGGGCGTTGTTTTTAGGATGTCGTCATAGATGCGAGGCAAAACAAATCTTAACCCTCCTCCTCTGTTAAGAGAAGGTTTTTGTTTCCTCACAAAAATGGCTTCTTTCACCCCTCTCTCAAACCAATTCTTCTCCCGAGCCAGAATTTTAACCTCTGTGTCATCCACCGTGTGGTTGGAGGCCTTGAGGTGGAGATGAACAGCCAACTGTGGCCCACTAGAGTTTTCTCTACGATGTTGGTAAAGTCGTTTCTGTAGAGTTTGTTTGGTTTCTCCAATATAGTGGTCAGTGCACTCCTCTTCACTACATTTAATTGAATACACCACATTGCTCTGTTTGTGTCTGGGTGTTTTGTCTTTGGGATGCACTAATTTCTGTCTTAACGTGTTGAAAGGTTTGAAATACACAGGGATTTTGTGTTGCCTAAAGATTCTTTGTAGTTTCTCTGAAACTCCCGCCACATACGGTAAGGACACCCCTCTCCTCCTACATTCTTCTGTCTGTTGGACTGTGTCTCTGGCCTTTCTCGTCCTTTGGGCTTTAGTAAAAGACCACTTGGGGTAGCCACATCTGGAAAGTGCTCTCTGAACATGTTTGGTTTCTCTGTTCTTTCCTTCCGAGCTTGTGGGGACCTGGTGGGCTCGGTGTTGAAGCGTTCTAATGACCCCGAGTTTGTGTTGTAGCGGATGGTTTGAATCAAAGGCCAAGTACTGGTCAGTGTGAGTGGACTTTCTGAAGACCTCAGTCTCTAATTGTCCGTTCTCCAGTATGATGACCTTACAATCTAGAAAGGCCAGTTCACTCTCCTTAGCATCCTCGCGAGTGAAATTTATAAAAGGGTCCACCGAGTTAATGTGTGCTGAAAATGGTTCCACTTCCTGTTTCTTTAACTTAACCCATGTATCGTCTACATATTGAAACCAATGGCTTGGCGCTGTCCCTTGGTAAGAGGCCAGGGCTTGTTCCTCCAGTTTCTCCATATACAGATTGGCCAAACAAAACTTTCCACTTTGGCCTATTGTATGTAGCATAGACTCTATCACCTACAACCTGGCTAAACACCTCAAAACCATTCTGGCTCCGTTGGTGGGTAACACCCACCATCACATAGAAAACACAAAAGAATTTGTAAATAAAATCAAACACCTCCAGTTTGACACAGATGAGACAATGGTCTCGTTTGATGTGACATCGCTTTTTACGTCGGTCCCTATTACAGAGGCGGTGCAGGCTGTAAGAGAAAGCCTACAGAAAGACGCCACACTAGGGGAGAGAACGAAACTAACAGCTGACCACATCTGTGAAATACTTGAAATGTGTCTTAACACCACGTTTCCCATTTAGAGGCACCTTCTTTAGACAGATTCATGGCTGTGCGATGGGCTCCCCAGTCTCTCTTATAGTGGCCAATCTGTATATGGAGAAACTGGAGGAACAAGCCCTGGGCTCTTACCAAGGGACAGCGCCAAGCCATTGGTTTCGA